TTCTTCAAAGTCACGAAAAGTCAGGGCATTGTGCTTTCATTCTGCAAAAATTGACAATTTGAAGAAAAGTTAGGGAAAGTTGAAGTTATAACACCGCTGATTTAATACCATTGAAGGCTAGCAAAAACATTTCAGGTCGCTGTGATCTGAGCGATGTTTGTTCCTTACTGAAGAAGGTATTGTTTTATATAAAAGTATCAGTCTTTTGATGGGTGGAAAGGACTGCTGTGAGGGAAGGCTGGAGGCTGCTACCACATCTGAAATTAAGGAGCTTAAGCAAACCACGACGACGGCGGCAACGAGAACGTCACTAAACAAAAGGTTTGATGAGCAAAACAATAGCTGCGCAGGTGCGTTATAAATCTTGGTACATTTCTTTGCCGTCCTCTGCAAAACAAAAACGTGAAATGACCAAGTTCTGCGTCGTCTACTGAACGTGGACGACAACGGCTAATTTTTTGTATTTCCATTTGGAATTGAACGTTGTCATTACATATTTAGCCTGAGCACGTTTTTAGAGCCATTGGCATACCGAACAGATCTAGACGATCGCGAATCTCGCTTGTAAAATATAAAGTCATTTTTGACTAGGCGTCGTCCTCGGCGTCGTCGTCGTCGTTGCTTAAGCTCCCTATTATGGGTATATTTGATCAGGGAAATTAAATTTTTATCAAAGAAAAGTCAAGGAAAAGCCAAGGAATTTTGAAAAGTGATGCCGGTGGCAGCCTTGTTATAGCACTGATGAGTTTTACCCTCTCACTCCCAGACCCCTAGTGTGAAATCAAGGTGCTCACGGTTTCGGGGTTTTCAAGGCGAAATTTGGGAAAATGTTTTGAGATTATTGAGAGGGAAAACGCTTACAAGAGGATCAATTGCTGTTTTCCTATCACGCTATTTGCATTTGAGGAAATGGGAATGGAATACACCTTATTCCAAAATGGCCGCCATTTTAGTATTCTTTTGTTTACTTGCAAATTAGCCCCGTTTAAGGGAAAATATTCTTTTGAATTTCGAGTTTAAGAACGAGGCAACAAGGGCCAATTTGCAAGAAAACGATAGAATACTTAAGTGACGGCCATTTTGGAATAAGGTGTATGGGATGGGTTTAATATCTTAAGAAGATTAATCACACCGCTTTTAAAATTTAAGGCAAGCTTCGTCTCTTCGCGTGACTTTGCATATTTTGGACAAAAAACGTCTAATTTTCGGATTGAAGCTGAACATCGTGGAACATTTTTAAGATATGCTTACCTGAACATTTCCACTCGTGTTTTTTTTTTTAATTTTTTGCCGT